AAAAGTAATTACTTTGACTAATGGATTACTAACACAAAGAAGTTGAATCTTTTTAATGCTATAAGACACTTATCCAAAAAAAAAAAGTCAGTTGCTATAATTAAAATTACAAAATGTTCGTTGTTCTCAGTCTTTCCTTGGAAAACTGGTAGCTACTATGAAGAACAGAAAACCCAATACCACCAAAATAAGACTCCATTCTGTTGTGTTAGTGTCTTCCTGGACTCATGGCCTCTGGGCTTAGCCTTTTGCTCTGTCTTGCCTTGTCCTGGTTGAAATCCCAGTTCATCACAAAATTCAAAAACTTTCTAACACATAGCTTTCTCCTACCTTTAAAACTTCATTTCCATCCTAACCCTGTCCTTTCAGCAAAATCTGTGTGTGCACAGACTGCACGCGGCCCTGGACATCCAGCCCCACTGTCTCTGCCAGGCCATCCTGTCCTTTGTCAAAGATGCTCAGATCCCTTCAGAGGTCCTTATGAAAAAGTGTTTAATCTCACCTCTGGGTGGTGGTTTTTGGTTAGTTGTCTTGATATTATTTGCCCCTTTGTTTAGCTATTAGTTACCTATGGGTTAGCATTGTTGTGGCTATGTCTGTCTGATTTTTATATGATTCACTCAAAACTATTGATTTGGGCCCAAACTCATGCCAGATACTAAGCTACAGAGCTAGACAAAATGGGACTTATAGATTAGTAGGAAAAAAACTAACAAGACTAGTCTTTAACTAGAGTGGTAGCTGGAGGAGGAAATAGTAGGACCTGCACAGAGCAGCACACACATTATTGTCCTCATCACTCCTCAAGTGAGCTCCGAGCATATTTCCTTGAGTTTAGTTCCTGCACCATGAATGCCTTTTTGAATTGAACTAAATGCAGAGTGAAGACTTTAGAGAGGAAATGGGGCAAGGGGATGGGATGGAGAGGGCAGGGAGGGGAGACTGAAGGAAGCTGTCCCTCTGAGGCATTGGGAATCTGAGACCCATCAGCCAGCTCGTGGGTCTGCCCCACAGACCTGAGCAACCAGTTCTGCTCCGCTCCTCAGAAGAGAGGCATCCTTGGCAAAGAGCTGCTGCTGAACCCCCAGATTGGGGTTTCTCTAATTCAAAATAGAATAGGTAAAGGGACTATGTTTGTTGTTGTTGTTATTGTTAGGGACATGATGAAGGGAATGTGTACAATTTGTTTCAAGGTAGGTTCCCCCGAATATTTCTTACATGTCCAGTTGGCTAATTTAAGGGAAAAGTCCTTATTGGAAAGCCACTTTCATTACTTTGGGGAGTCCTGGAGTTAAGAAACTATTTTATAGCAGCATGCCCTGCTTGATACCAGTTGGGGCATTTTGAGACTCTAAAGTGTGGGTTGGACCAGTTCATACTTGGCTTCTGGCTCTGCCAGGTGCACCCTTGACTGAGTCCTTTTCCAGATCACAGTTTCTTGTGCACTGATGAGGGTATTGGGAAATAGCTCCCCTTGTGCATACACTCTTTGGTTTCACATTATTCAAACATGGAACGTTCTGGTTTTTTGAGGAGTCAGTCCACCTACTTCATGCTACTATTCGGTATATCCTTCACCATCTGCAATATGGCCATAGCTCTGAAAGTAAGCAGAAAAGGCCTCCAGGAGATGGCCCTGGGCTCGCAGAGCTCATGCATTCATTTAATGAACACATGTATTAAATAGCTATTATGTGCCAGGAACTGGGCTAATAACAAGGCAGGGCCTCCAGTCCTCGAGGACTGAATGAATGTAGAGCATAGCAGGTGCACCCTGAAGAACCTGTACCTAAAATGAGTACCTTCCTTTACAAAGCAACAATAGGATTTTATTTTATTAGCTTTTCCAGCTCATAGCCAATTAAAAGTAGTAAACAGAGAATGTGTTGATAACTGTAAACACAGAAATGACAATAGTTGTAATAAAGGAGGAAGACAAAGAACCATACAAAGAAGTTGCTAGAATTTCAGTCTGAACAGACCATTTGATATGAGGCTGAGACCTAGTGAATCTCTGTAGCCCCTGAGGACATCATTGCCTGATGCACTCCAGTAATTTATGTTCCTGGTAATGACTCTTAATAATTCTGGAAGAAATGGTAAGATAGAAACAACTATACTTCCTTCCTTTCTTCCTCCCTCTCTCTCTCTCTCTCAAATTTTTTTCTTTAGTTGTACTTGGACACAATACCTTTATTTTATTTATTTATTTTTATGTGGTGCTGAGGATCGAACCCAGCACCTCGTGCATGCTAGGCGAGTGCTCTACCACTGAACCACAACACTCTTCTTAAATTTTTATTTTTGAGATTTCCATCTGAACCACCCAAATGGTTAAAATGTTTCTGCTTCAGAACAAGTCAGTTACCTGGGAAATCTATTTATGTGGAAGAGCATAATCCTCAGCAAAACTGTGCGCATGAAACGTAACTCTGGTATGGTCAAGGCATTGCCATGCATCCAACCAAGAATGAACAACTGTTGAAGGATAGAATGTAGTCAGCTACTCTGAATATACTGTGAGCCTAACTTAATCACTGAAAGAGTCTAAAGAACACTTGCTCTAAAATATATTCTTAGTGATCATGTATGAAAACCACACCATTTTTCATCATTGAAATGCAGTTTGGTAGAACACACAGCTCTGGGGAAGATGGCCCTTAGGCTGCAGAAGACAGGGGGCTGCCACAGAGGAGGGGGTCTGGATGGAGATGATTTGTAGCTAACCATCTTCTCATACTGAGCTGTCCTGAAGGGGAAGGAGTCATAGTGGATCTGTCATTTGGTGAGTGACCACAGTTCAGAACCAGTGGTCAGTAAACCTTTCTTAACAAGAGAGAGTAAGTACGTCAGACTGGCAGATTATGTGGTCTCTACCAGTTACTCCACTCTTGCCATTACAGTGCAAAAGCAGCCAGAGATAGTTCATAATCAAACAGTGTGGCCATGAGCCATTAAGACTTTATTGGTTTGAGCCTAAATGTAATTATGGGAACAGAGATGATATACATACAGATCTGTATGGCAGTAGGAAAACTGAAAGAGTGGCTGCATCTGGGGGTAGTCAAAGTATTGGGCCTCAGTCAGCTTTTGATCCACTATGGGATATCAACTTGACATGGTAGGGGAGGAGGGCATTGATTTTGGCTGGATGGAATTTAGGGTTTTAGAATTTGCTGGGTACAGGTCAAGGTTTGGACATTCCTGGTCTCTGATCCCCTACTGTTAAGTTTCAGGCTTTAGAAGGTAGGCCCACTGTCCGAATGTCTTTTGGTTGTCACTGTCAACATTAAATTGTTCGTCTCCTCTGGAGAGCACAGAGTTGCTCTGTTAGAAAATTCTGGTTGATGGACCATCAGGAACCACTGCTTCAATCTACTTGAGATAATTATTCCATAAATGTCAAAGCTTCTTATTCCCAGCACTGGGCACTTAACATGTGATTCATTGTTCCATATTTGTGGAGTTGAATGTTCCTTTGGTCAAGTCCTGCCTTTCAGCCATTAATTCTCTGCCACTTTGGGGTGGGAGGGGTTGGCTTTATTGTTTATGATAGTCTGTGCAACTGTTGACCCTAGAATGTCCACCATTTTCAGGAATAGTTGCTGCTCTGCCATCTCAGCTTTCTGGACTTGTTCATACTTTTCCTGACTGTCCTATATTCAATCCAGATGCTCTTTTTGTGAGGTGAAGGCAATGGAAGAAGAAGGAAAAGTGGGAGAAAGGGTCAGGACAGTCCAATATGACCATTGCAAGCCTGCCCTTGCCCTTCAGCACACATGTGGCCAGTATGGCTTTTGAGGGATTTCCTCTGCTGTGTAATGACTTGAGTTCCCAAAAAGCTTGAGTTGCACTTGCCTGCCCCAGGTCCACTACCGGTGGCTTTTCCATGGTACCTACATCTGGTGGTTAACTCAAGCTGTCACAGTTTTTGAGGAACCTGGTTGCTGATGCAGTGAGCGAGAAAGTTTAAGATAAAGAGATGGAAGAGAGGGATCTGTGCTTTCTGAACCTTGTAGCACATCTTGAGAATCTGTGTGGACATCAATCTTTTCATTACTATCTTCAGAGACTCAAGTTACAACTACTAGGAGGAAAGGCTATTTACCCAATGCTTCTTTCTCTTTCCTGGAGAGAATATATGTACAGTCTGTGAGCAATCTGGGGTGTACCAATTTCCTCCATTCATCACAAGCACCTCCACCAACTCCCCCACCAGCAGCCCTGGTAGGAGATGGCCAGGGCTGGAATGTGACAGGCTCACAAAGCCCCATGGCCAGGTGGTGGGACACATCTCTACCCTTTGCCCCATTATATATAAGGAGACCAAAACTCAGAAATTCTGTCTCTTGTCCTGATTTATCAGGTAAAAAGCCTGACGTTCCCCACTCTGTTTACCTTTATCATCAGTACTGCAGTGAGTTAGAATGTCTTCATGGTTGTGCCCTGACACTAGCCCTAGCTAACTACTGCTTTTCCTCTACTCATCCCTGTTGCCCCAAACAGCTTCAGTGTGGGCCCCTGGGTTTTCCATGCTATAGAGGCAGCAGCATTTCTGCTGGAGAGTTTTCCCCCAGCGTTTGCTGTTCCTCCAATCCCACCCCTTCCCTGTCTTTTATGTCAAAATCTGAACTTATCTGCTGAAGCACTGTCTGCCCAGCGGAGCCCCGATAGCCAAAGAGGACTAGGTTCTGGTCCTCCCCCTAGGTGCTGCATCTTCCACTGTGCTCCAGCTGACCTCTGGCCAGACATTTGCCCTTTGGAGGCTCCCTCTTCATTATTTGTCATGTGAAGGTTTGGGGCAAGGCAGACCTATTTCAGAAAGACTAAGTTAACTCTCAGCAGTTGGAAAGACAACCAGTGCTTTAAGTGAGCAAGGTGTTTAGGCAGCATTTCTACAAGGACTTACACACAGATACTTGTGGCTCACTTTGGAAAGGAAATTTTGACAAGTCTCCTTAATGACAACATCAAGTTTCTGGGTTCTTTTCCTCTTTCAGATGCCAGTATGGACAGAATAGCTTATGATGCTTATCCACACCCACCACTTTCGAGACATTGAGCGCAAGCCGGAATACCTCCAGCCGGAGAAGTGTGTCCCACCTCCCTACCCTGGTCCTGTGGGAACCATGTGGTTTATCCGCGACAGCTGTGGCATCGCCTGTGCCATCGTCACCTGGTTTCTGGTCCTCTATGCAGAGTTTGTGGTCCTCTTTGTCATGCTGATTCCATCCAGAGACTATGTATACAGCATCATCAATGGAATTGTATTCAACCTGCTGGCCTTCTTGGCCCTGGCCTCCCACTGCCGGGCCATGCTGACGGACCCCGTGAGTATGTCTGGGCTTGTTTTGACCAGCCCACACTCTCCTCCTCTGGCCCTGACATGGCCAAAGCCTGCATGCTCCCTCTGGACCTCGGGAATGTGGAGAACAGAAGGGCCAGGGTTGGCTGGGAAAGTGGGTTCCTCCATGTTAGTGTTCATGGGACTCTGGGGGAAAGAGGCCAGCATCTGTATTACAACCTATCTCAGTTAAATGGTACCATCTGTGCCTTGATGTACACCTTAATTGAGCTACTGCAGGAAGGGGTTTGTCTGGGGGAATCTGTCCGCTTGTTCAAATCAGTCTTCTGTCAGGTAACTTTGGAGACTGGAGTGAGAAGGTTGGAGCAAAAAACATGTTAGGTGTCTGGTCAGGATGCGAAGATAGGACAGGAGCTAGGTGGGCTTGAAATTAAAGCTACACCCAGTTCTAGGAACCTGCACAGATATGGTTTTTACTGTGTGTGAGTAAGGTTCTCTTTTCCTGAAAAGCTGGACAAGCCTGTTTTGGGCAGCAGCCAGTGCTTCTTGGTGAATATGTGTGAGTAAAACAGAGGTGATCTGCTCAGTGACCTAACCACCTGTACCAAGCTGTGCAAATGGCTATTGAATGTTTTTACACCCTAGTATTAGACCCTCCATTCCTGTTTCTACTCATTTTCTTGTATAAGAAAAGCCAGAGGATTAAGTTATTTGATAAAGACCTCTGTAGCTCAAATTGTTTCAATGTGTGGGATGTGTTTAAGTTAGGAAAGGGAAAACACTGCTAATAACACATACAAATTTTGTTTCTGTGTGCCCCAAAAAATATAGTAAAGATGATGTCCTGAGCTAGTTTTCTTCTCAAAGGGCTCCATTTCCTGCTGGTTTAGGTGACAGATTGTTAACTGTCCCGAGGGAAGCTGGCTTTCCCAGCTCAGTTACATGTCAGTGACTGGTCCAGACAGGGCCCCTTCTGTGCACGTGCCTCAGGGAGCTCACACACACTGGCATCACAGGTAGGGGCCTCTTTGTCCAGGGTTGGTGCTGCTTACAGGATCGCCAGGTAGTCATCAGCTGCAGGAAACAAAGCATGTGATTATGCCTAAAAGTGCCCCCAGACACAAGGGTATGAAAGTATCAATTTGGTCATATTGAAAACAAGTATTCAGAAAATCTTACGATGCCTTGCTATTGGGGGACACAGGAGTAAAAGACATTGTTTTGCTCAGCATATAGTTTACTGTCTATTAAGCTCCTAGTGCTGTTCTGCCCTTAGGGTGTCCTCTTTCTAGGGGAAAAGAAGCAAGGGCAGCTGCAGATGATGAAGGCTGTGGCAGAAGGAAGCTTGGTTCATGGTTTGTGGTGGAAGAACAGGGAGGAGATTAGCCAAGCTAGGTGGGGATGACTGCCTGGAGAGGAAGTGGTGCTTCAGCCAATTCTCATCAGAGCAATGACTATTGGCAGAGGAAGTGGAGGGTGATAGAGCAGGAAGACTCGGGCGACATTCCAGGCAGAGGGACCTGTACAGACACAAGCACGCCAGGAGTGTGGCTCCAAGGCAGCCAGGCATTGTTGGGAATGGTGGAACCTTAGGAGGAAAATGGTGTGGGTTGGTTGGTAATGGTGGGTGTTGAAGGAGGGTAGAAGTTGGATGATGACAGGTGGTCAAAAGCCCCTGAGGATTTTAAACAAAAGAGTGACAAAATCAGATTGTCATTTTACAAGGATCACTCTGGCAGTAGTGCAGAGGAGCTCTGGGAGACACTGATGGATCGAATAAAATGAATGGTCATGTTTATTGAGTGCCTGCTCAGTGAGAAGTTCCTTTCTGAGCAGTGAGAGCAAGACAGAAATCTCTACTTGAAGGTCACATTCTAGTGAAGCAATCTGGCAGCAAAGACATTATTGAATGACATTGTAATGTTGGAAGAACATAAGTTCTTTAAAGATGGTAAAACAGGGTGATGTGGTGACTTTAAAGGGGGACTGTATTCAATCAAGGTAATCTGGGGAGGCTTCTCCTCAGTCAGGCCATTTGAGCAGACCTGAATGACGAGAAGTTGCAGGATCTTCGGGCAGAGCCTTCCAGGCAGAGGAGAGAGTAGGTAAAAGACCCAGAGGCAGAAGCAAGCATATTTGAGAAATAGGACTAAGGCCAAGGTGACCCAAGCAAAGATAGGTGGGCAAGGGAGTGGAGAGAGCTGCAGAGGCCAGTTACACAGGGCCTTGTCAGCCTGTGAGAACTTTGGTCTTTACAAAGGCGATGCATGATGTGCACCGTGCTCACAGTGGAGGTTCAGGGTGGGATGAGTAGAAGCAGGCGACTAGAAGAATTGTAGTAACCCAGATAAGGTGTGACACTAGCTTTGACCAAACTGGAGGTAGTGAAGCTGCAAAGAAGCCATTGGATTTAGAGTATGTGTTAAACCACCAGCTCTTAAGTCTGGGTGCACCATAGAAGCCCTTGGAGAACTTTTAAAGTGAACTGATGCCTGGGTCCACCCCGAGAGATATGGCTCTAATTGCTCTGGAGGCAGGACCTAGGACTTTGGGACACAAAAGCTCTCATGTGTCCCTCATGTTCAGTGAGGCTCGGGAACTGCTGTTGAGAAGAACAGAGATTGATCAGAGAGCGGGCCTTCCAGAATCTCGGCTCCAGCAGCAGGCAAATGACTGGAATCCTTTACTGAATGAGAAAGTCCAAAAAGGAATAGGTGCCGGAGGAGAAGTCAAGGTTTCTGTTCTGGCCAAACTGCCCCTAACATTAGGTGCAAGCAGATATGCTAAGTGGACGGTAGACAGCCAGCCTTGAACTAATGGAGGGCTGGGACTGGAGAGTGTAGTATGGAGGTTATTGCCTTATAGATGGCCTGTGAAACTAGGAAGATGGATATTGGACCATGGGAGAGGACACTTCCACCCTGGCATTCTTGCTGCCCTCACATACCTTTATTCTTTTATAAACCATATAGCAACGTGCATTCTCTCTAGGAACCTCCTCAGGCTGGCAGGACAGCATGGTTCTCACTGTAATATGTCACTCAGCTTCCAGTCCTGAATGGGTGGGAGCTGCTGCTACATCCCAAATACCAGTGAGCTGCTTATTGGTGCGTTTTGCTGGTAGTCCCAAAGAAAACCAGGTCAGAAAATGAAGAATCTGTCAAATAGCTACCATTAGCAAGGGAAGCAATTCAAAGCAAATCCTACAGACCAGCCATCTCAGGATCTTCATGCCACCACCTGCTTTTCAAACACCTCCAGCATATGGCATCTTATGCAAAACCCAGTATGTAAAACAAGTGAAGCTGCAGAGATGGGAGCCCTCAGGGCACCACTGAAGCACCTGGGATTCTAAGGAGCAGAGTTGGAAGCCCAGATCTCAGATACAAGAAGATCAATTAGGGTCCCCTTTTTAATACAGCAGGGATATCTGTTTTGAGAAAGAAGGGCTCTAGGAACTCCCTGATATGATAATAATATTTTGTACTCAGGAGTTCATGTTGTGCATAATTGTTAGTAAAGTTACATCCAGAGAGTATAAACAATATATGTGTTGTGTATGATTTTTGGTTAGTGCCAAAAAAGAGGGAGAGAAGGAAATCTCTTATGTGATCTCCCATCAGACAGTTATTGTCCCACTTCCAGGTTTAAAATTTTATTCCCAGTATAAATTCAGAACAATTGCAACCACCACAGCTTTCTGGACCTTTGAGCAGTCATTTACTCCAACGCAGCCATAGTTGGGTCCACAGAGCTTGAGCAGAAAGCAAGAGAGGGAAATGACTCACAGATGTGTAAGTGGCCCCCTCAGAGGTGTTGCTGCCATTTGAGAGGTAAGCCCCGTAGACAGGGAAGAAGACAAATGGACCAGGAGGCAGGGCAGGCATCTCACTAGACCTGGCCACCTGCCAGGCCTGGCCTGGAAGCACAAGGATGTGGGCAAGGACATGACAGGCTGGTATTTAATCTCATAATGCCCTCTCCTTGCTCACTGTGGGGTTGTAATGTTATCTCCGGGAATTTTCTGTGTTTCTGAAACACTTCAGGCGTTTAGAGATCTCATGACTCCACTTGCCTTGAGGAGGCAGCCTCTTGAAGACAGCCTGGACTCAGAAATCCTTATCTTGAAAACCTCTCTCTCCTTACCCGTTTCGTGATTTCTCTACATTTTCCGGCTCCAAAACATTCTATTTCTTCATCTTATGAACACCCCTAGGAATCCTTAAAAAATTAGGTCCAGGATAGTGTCCATCTCCCAGAAGACATCTAAAGCTGAGAGAGATAGCTTGCTTCTGATGGCTCTAGCTGCCAAGCATTACGCAATCACAGCAGTTGCACAAAATCTATGATTACTTTATTTTTGCCCCTTCTTTCCTTAGACCTAATCATTTACCTCACAAATTATTTCAAATCGAGATTTGAGAAAAGGAAGAATATAAATCCATTCAAATGAACCATATTGTTAAGGAAAAGAAAATTCATCTGTCTGCCTGCCACTGCACACCCCACCAAGTCCCACCCTGTGAACACCTCACCTTAAACCAACCTCCCTGTCTTAGGCCACTGAATTTATTTCACTTGCTGAATGTCTTCATTGGACATGTTGGAGCTCAATTCACAGGTGCAGTTGATGTTCCCTTCTGGTGTCTCTTCGACAACCTTATTGAGCACATGCCATAGTGTATAGAGCCACTTGACAGTAATTCCCTCAGAAGGGTAACACAGGAGCATGATGTGGGCCCTGTGGAAAGACAAAGGGAAATGACATCGCAGGTTAGGGGCCTTGCCTCAGGGTCCATTTGAATAGAGTGCCCCATTCTCCCTTATGCCAGGAAGCTTCTCACACATGCCACTCAGTAACCCATCAGTGAGCCTAGCCTCTTTTTGGCTCCAGAGAGAAAAGTGACCAGTTTGGGGCTTGCCTATCTCCTATCTTTCTGTGGAGGAGACTGGAGGTTCATGGCACAGGCATGTGGCTTGTTATTTTATTCCAGGAAAGCTATTAGAGGGAGCATTTTCTGCCCA